GTGAATGTTCCTATACTACAACCCAAATGCAGAACGACTGGGTTGCCTTCCTACTTCAAAAGTCAACTGCGACACGTGGTACGCACATCACAAGGAAGTCTTTTCACATATCAAGTTTTGTGGGAAGGCCGCCGTGCGTCAAGACGACCTCCGACGGTTCTGCCTACGAGAACAACCAGTGGGCACTTGGGTGGAGGAAATACCACCATGGACGACATTAGCCGAGCGCGAGGGCACTCGCAAGGATGACGTGGACCAGTGCACCACGGGTCTACGTGAAAATCTGCTGAGATAGTGGCCAGCCACCGCATATTGTTAACTCCCTTCGAGAGCAGACGGTGCGTGGGTCATCATCACCATGCCGCGGTTTTCAACGGGGAACTGGCCAGGGCAGCCCAGTATACTCTGAAGATGCAATCCCTCTTCGTTGAAACGGTTCAACTTGCACGCGACACGTTCTCAGTAAATCGTGATCCATGTCATGCTCATTCTCATACGTCATCTGTTCCAGTTACGAACGCACGTGGACTTGAAATGGATGATCCAACGATCCCTCGACATCCTGACGGACCAATCATGAGAACGCCAACAGAAGGATGAGGGTGCTCTATGTGTGCTGATAACCTCAGCATGCACTCCCAATCACATGAGAGGGACCCCTAGCACTGCAGGTGGTGCGACAAAGCAGATTTCGAATGGGAATGTCCCAGCTGCAGAAAGAATTACGTTAAAGCTAAGCCTGGTCACTTACATCCACCTGGCAAATGTAAGTTTGCCAAATCGTGGAAGCTGCCTGACAACCGCGGACAGGGGCCTCCAGCCCCCGCCGAGCCGGCAGCCCCACCACCACCCGCGGCGGCAGTAGCTTCCGACGCGCCACCACCTGCGGCGGCAAGCTTCCGAGGCACCAGCCGCCAAACAAGCTGCGCGGCTACGAGCTCCGAGACCTGGTTCCAGAGCTGGACCGACAGCAGGCGCCAGCAGCCAGGACATCACTGTAGGCAGACGCGCTGCTGAACCGGCTGCGGGGCAACCTGCTGCAAGTGGAGCCGGCAGCTCGGACGACCGCAGACGACTGCCACAAATTGTAGCCAGACGTGGACGACAACAAGGAGGTGATCCACTTCCACCACCACCTGCGGGGAAACCTGCTTCTCGTCCAAGGCTTCCAGACTGGTCATCGTTCGATGTGCAAACCCGTCTGCAGTACTTAGCGCGTGAGCTGCGGAAACTATACCTGCGGTGGTTCCACGCTAAAGAGCTTGAGATGAGATTCGTCTTAACCAAGGCGGGTCTGGACAGCGTTAGGCTGAATTTGATTACAGGCGTCTGTGGGACATGCCGGGGGTGCAGGGTTTGGGAAAAGCCTTGCATGCTGTCATGCCGTCTACTGCACTACCTGGTAAGTTGAATGGCGAAGTCAAATGAGATTTGGTTTTCTACAAACAGGAACACAGTATGTCACGCGGCGCTGAAGACGATATACCAGACAAAACCATGACCAACATCTTAGACGCGCACCATCAGTGCTCCATTCTGACGGGAAAGGCGCACTCAATAACGACGCCGCAACGGCAGTCCTTGAGGCAAGAAGGCATAGAGCTGAGGATGCGCGCGCGTGGACAACACGCGACGACCATTGAAGCCAGAAGTTTTATATTACGACGCCTACTTCACGTCATGCAGGCTGAACTCAACAGGTTAGACGTACCACTTGTTCGCCCGTCTATGACATGAGTCTTTGTTTGCCGCCAATGCGTTTACCCTCTATAATGAGGTATTTTCGAGAACCAGCTATGCTACCCGATTTGCCTGTTTGGACCACGAACAGTAGGCGGAGACGTCCGACCATACTCGAGAACAGGTTACCCGCTGGGTAAGCATTGAGGCTATCACTCAAGCCACTGCAGTAGCGAAGACAAGCCGCACACTATGGACCAAAACGACCATCACTGGTCAGCATTACTATGACGAAGGAGATCTGGTTGACTAGCACCGTCCCACTACTACGAAAAACGACTGGGGTCCAGACCACCCAGGGGGGACATCTAACATATGGCCGTCGGGCTCCCCACACGTAGAAACACACGCCCAGCGAGGATATCCAACATGCGCATGGCGCCTGCGCCTTCTGCGTGTGTTCTTACGTGTCCAGACCACCCAGGGGGGACATCTAATATATGGCCTTCGGGCTCCTCGCATTTCAAAATGCGCGAACGGAGAAGATATCTAACATGCGCCTGGCGCCTGTGACTTTTGACGCTTGTTCTGTTTTCCGCGTGTCCACGCCACAGGGCGAGGGACATCTGACCATGAGGCAGCCCGGCTCCTCACATGGTGAATTATTTGCGCCGAGTGTGTACACCTAACATGCGTCTGGCGTTTTTGCAGGCGCCTGTGCGCTCGGCGACTTTCCACGTTTCTCGGTTACCTGGGGGATATCTAACGCGAGGTCATCGGCCTGACAGCACGCAAGACATCCAGGCGCGGAGGGGTATCTAACATGCGTCTGGCGGTTATATCTTTGGTAGGTGTTTTCGCGGCGCTTCCCTTGCGACGTCTCTTGGCGTGATGCCTCTTGGCACGCTCTCTGGCACGCCTCTCGGCGCGTCCCGTTGCGCATCCCCTGGCTCGTCCTCTGTCGCGTTCCCTGGCTTGTCCCCTAGCGCTTCCCCTGCCCGTTCCGTGTCGCGTCCCTTGCCACATCCCATGGCTCGTCCGTTGCCATGTCCCCTTGTGCGTCTTTTGGGACGTCCTCTGGCATGACGTCCTCTGGCACGCCCCATGGCACGCGCCTTGGCACGTCCCGTGGCAGGTCCCTGACACGTCTCCTAGTGCTCCTTTGGCACTTCCCGTGACGCGTCCATGCGCCTTGCGCCCTGTGTCGTCTCGTTCCGCTTCGGAGTTGAGTCGGATTTTGAGCACGAGCTGAATGAGCGTCCCACACGTTCGATTGCAAACAGCTCAGGGATTGCTAAGGCAGCTCGAGCTTAAGATCCAGATCAGTTCGGTCAGGATTCGGATGCCAAGGACGGCTTGGTCCACAACGTCATAGAACGCAGTCCATGTTATCGCGGCATGGCACATCTCAATTCAGTACGACAGCACAGCACAACCCCTGGCACGGTACGTCACGATCGATGCGTTCCGCATTGCAATTGCTGGCCGCCCAACCAGGTGTCTTGAAAACGTTGCCATTCGCATTTCTAGAATTTCCTTTTCCGGGTCCGTGGGCCCATCATGTCTGTTTCAAGTAAGGTTTTGCCCAGGGAGTCCTACAGCCTGCGAAATGCTTCAGAAATCATGGGTTAAGAAATTCATAGTCTCAGAAATTGAATAAAACCCAAAACTTCTACCAACATCTTGGGATTTACATGGAAAAGTTAAGAATAATCGAGACTCTGGACGAAAACTTGGGTTTTCTTAAGCATCGCCTAGGATGTACAGTCGGACCGAGGTATAGGACCTAGGTCGGCTCGGGGCGGGTACCCTCGTGTGTGTTCGTGGCTGCTGGGTGCTCTTGTGCATCCTGGGGAGGGGCACCCTCGTATCGGGGGCGGAAAAGAGGGGGGTGATGACCAGGGGGGGTGGATATCATGGCGTGGGCCATGATGTTTCCCCAGATCTCATGGCGCCTTTTCTTATTTCATTACGGCCCTGGCCCCTCCGCTGGGCCGCGCACATGCCGCCGGTCATGATTTGCACCCCCCCCTCTTGGACACCCCCCTCTTGGCCGCTCCCGATTGTGCGTTATGTTTGGTTTGGGCGACGGAGGGTCTCCTGCTCTCGAGGGGTGCTCTTCTGGCCCAGGTCCGGTTGCACCTGTTCTATGCGGAGGCCTGGTGCCTCTGGCCCCGATCGCCCCGCCGGCTCCTGGACACTCGGGGCCCGGCTCCTCGCGCAAGCTCAGGCGTCAGCACAATGGTTTACAGTCGGCACTGACTAGCAGGTCGATCCTGCCAAATCAAGGATACCCTCGTGTCCTGTGTCTCGCGACCTATGCCTCCTACATTCCTACAGCAATGCGGCACTCGGAAGGGTCTTGTGTCCTCTCGCGTGTCCTGTCCAATCAAGTCTGGCTTAGCACAGTGCAGTAGGACATGCCATACCATGGCACAGCACAGACTTCAGATCATAGCATGACGGGTCGCATTGCAGCTCGCACAACACAGCAGACCATATGCGTACACAGCAGATCATGGCACAGCACCAGCATCGTAGCAGAGCATTGCGTTGCCTGGCGGCTGGCGCTGCAACTCACATGGCGTGGCGCAGCGTTGCCTCATTCTTGTCATCATCATCCTTCTCCTCGCCGTCCCCGCGGCCTGCAGCTGCACGCAAACAGTCACTTGGAACCACATACAATCCGTGTATCTTATTTCCCCTTTGACAAAGGACTCGCCAGAATGGCTGCTACCGTTGCCTACCTTTTGGTCCTTCTGCAGCTGCTACCCGTTCCTTCTTTCGGCGTCCAAAGTAAGTTTGCCGCCGAGAGCCTCTCCAGTAGCAGGAGAGAGCGTAAAGCCGCCCTAGGCAGAATGAACAGGGTGGGGGTCACCAAGTACCAACGCCACACGTTCAAGAGGTCCAGCAGGAAGGATGGCAAGTTCGCCTGGCCCGACCCCGCCAACCGCGATGGGCAGACATATTATGGTGCGACAGACCTCACGGACAACGTCTCCTGGGGCTGGCACCACCCGAGCGGCATCTACAACACCATCCCGGTCGGCAGCCCTCTCATCGATGACCAGTCGAACATCTACATCGGCGCCGACGACGCCATCCGGAAGTTCGACGTCATGGGTGACATCAAGTGGAGTTACGCCCCCCGAGGACAGCTTGCAGCGGCGCCCACCCTCGTCGCCGCCAGCAGCAGGCGCCTGGCGGCCCACGTGAAGAACGACATGAGCGCGCAGGCGGAGGATCTGCTGCGGCCCGATTGGGCCAAGGACAGCTCGTCGAACACAGAGTCCGCGTTCCAGTACTTCAAGGACTTCAAGGTCGGCGACGTCGTCAAAGTGAAGCCCGGCCTGAGCTACCGCGCGGATGGCAAGGAGTTGTATAAGGACGGCGACCAGGGGCTGATATCCGGCTTCGTTCCAGGGGATGGCAAGGACAGCAGGGCCGTCATCCAATGGACGCGCACTGGGCACAAGAGCGTGCTGGAGCTCCACGCCATGCAGAATCGCTTCGTGCGCGTACGGGCAACGGAGGAGCAGGCCTCGCTGCCCCCTATGATTGTGGGGAGCACCACCTCCGGCTACGTGTTCGCGCTCGACATCGACAGCGGAGAGGAGCTGTGGGCAACCTGGGCCTCGAACGACATCGCGGGTGTCAAGGGGGCTGTGGCGGCCAAGGATGGCATCGTAGTAGTCGCAACCGACAGATGCACTGACAGGTACTGCTACAGGTATCGCAACCAGACCATGAGCCTCTGGCCTGGTAATTCCTACGTCCGGGGCTTGAGCGCCGCGGACGGCAGCGCCGTCTGGGAATATAAAACCATGGCGCCGACATGGAATATGGTCCCGCTGTGGGGCCCAAGCTCCAACGTGTTCTTCCAAGACTACGAGGGCAGGGTGTACAACCTGGACTTGCAGACCGGCGCTGAGATATGGAAGTCCGGTGGCAACATCGGGACGAACACCAACGCAGCCGCCGTGTACGATCCTGGCCACAACATGGTCTTCGCCCTCGGCATGGGCTATTACCAAAGCAAGTATTGCAATCCTTACGTGGCACCTGGCATCCTTGTTAATTGCAACACGTGGCCGGGCACCAGGGGCTTTATCCGCGGCTACAATGCTACGTCTGGCAGGCAACGCTGGGAGACTACAACGCCAGAGCCGCCAGCCAGCGCCGCCGTCGGCATGCTCAACAGTCAGCCTGGTCACACTCGTTTGGTGGTCACCGCGAGGGAGGGAGGAGAAACATGAGGAGGAGGAGGAAATTGAGAAGGAGAAGGAGGTGTGGAGGAGGAGGAGGAGGAGGAAGGATTTGAGGTCACCATCGGCTACAACTGCCTCATCAATTCCCCTACGCAGATCTGGTCCGTCGATCCGCACAGCGGCCACAAGCGGTGGGAGAGGGATGGCCCGACGCTGTGGTCTAATCAGTGTGCTGGCGACAAGGAGGGCGCCGACATCCGCAGGGCTATGGGCGGCCGCGCCGCCTGCGTGCCAAACAGCTGGTCCACACCGGCGATCGATTCGAACGGTGACGTGTACGTTGGCAACCAGGTCGGCGTACTGCAGAAATGGGGATCGCCGACTGGGAGGACAGCGGACGTCGAGCTTCTCTCGACCTTGACCACTGGTCATGCCTTCCAGGATGCAGCCATCGCGTTCGGCGACGGCATCATGGCCATATCCACATGCACCTCCCTCATTGTCTTGCAGACTTGGACAGACTACTTCGCAGACAACGTCACCGTCACGGCTCCGCCGAACCTTGATGGCGAACCTTACGGCTACGACCCCACCCGCCCACCTGCATGATTCTGAGGCGTGAGCGGATGGCGCGTGATTGGCCATGCTCTTTGAGCGGCTTTGTTTGCTGCCATTCTCTCAGTCCACCTGACTAGCTGTCTGTCTTTTTTTTCACAGGTTTTGACCTCAATGCGCTTCCGTCTGCAGCGCCTGTCTCTGTGCTTCGCCAGGTGCCCATCACATCGTGAGACACTTCAGCGATTCACCCAAGGCAAGGTCGGCCTGGAAATACCCTTCTCTTGCTCCCCATGCTGCTACGTACCATCGGCCTCCTGGGACACCTCGTCCTGGTCGCCGTTCTTCTCCTGCTCTTCCTCCTCTCTTCATCATTTTCTTTTTCCTCGTGCTCCTTCTCCTCCCTGTCCCCCTCCCCCCTCGCTGCAAGATATGCCGGCGACCCAGTTGGATGGAGCCCGCAGAGCGGGAGACACGGCGGGCCGCCCAGGGGGAAACCTGCGCGCCAGTCTCGCAATCTGTTGGTGCTCGGGGTGCGGCCTCGACGAGGGTCAGCACCAACCGTTGGAGGAGGAGGGGGAGGAGGAGGAGGAGGAGGAGGAGGAGGAGGAGGAGCAGGAGGACTCCGTAGCCATTTTGGCTCAAGTCCGTAGTGTCTTGGCACAGGACCTGACTTTGGCACGGGGGAGTCGCGGCCCCCACCACGATCGACGCCCCGTCTGCCAGCTTGGACGAGGGTTTTCGGCTTTCTCGATCTACACACCAGCAGCCTTGGCTCAAACACATGGGCCGATCCGCTGATGGTTATGTCACTCCGCGCGTTCCGCGCGGGCAATGCTGGAAATGCGAAGCGTGTGGATGCCAGCGCAACTTGGCTTGGTGGACGTGGTGCAAGAGACCACCCTCGTGCTGACCCTGCTGTTGGCGCTCCGTGGAGGACAGGCCCGCCAGGTGCCTGGGCCATGGACCCGAGCGACCCGAGGCACCTGCGCCACCGAGCAGCTGGGAGTTGGCACCAGTCCTATCCTCAGCAACAGGCCCAAGGAGCCCCTGCGCCACCTGGACCTCTTGCAGTGGGAGGTCAATCGTATGTCCCTGGACCTGCTGGTGTGCAACCACCACTACAACCTGGGCTTCAACTGGCGGCCTCAGGCTGGCTGGGAACACCTCCCCGGTCTGCGGGCACTCCCTCGTACGGCCCCAACGACGTGGACAAGCTGCGCGCCCTGGTCACTACCTTCACGGAGCTGGGGGACATGGCCAAGGCTGATGCCTACAGGAAGGAGGCCGACAGAGTCGCCAGGGCTGCGCTCCCGCCGCCTCCGCTCACTGTGGGCGCAGCTAAGCATGCTTGCACCCAAGCCAAGCAGTCTCTCGAGAAGGCTGTCAAGGCGGCGGAGGTGCTCGTGCTGCAGGCCGACGAGGCCAAGGCGAAGGCAGTGCGGGCCCTCAAGGAGTACAAGAGTGCCAGCGCCAGTACTCTGCGGCGGTCACGGAGTTGGCCAAGGGAGTGGACATCGCTAAGCCTGACAAGCCCAAGCTCAGCCTCTCTGCAATCCTGGACGGAGGAGAACTGGAGTTGGACGATGATGGAGTTTTCGGATTGGATGCGGAAGGGATTTGTTTATCGGATGAGGAGAAGGAGCAACTGGTGGCCAGGAAACAGAACCTCCTCACCATTTTCCGCGAAGCTACGCATCAGCGTTCGGAGCCGCCCGTGAGAAGGCGTCCTCGCTGGTGGATGAACACAAGATGTTCGCCAAGCGCATGGAGGCGAAGCGCAAGAGGACCGACCAGCCCGCTTCAGCTGGAGAGGCCCCTGCCGAGACTGGAGCTCGAGCATCTGAAGAACCTGCCGCTGGCGCCAGTGCCCAACCTGCTGAGCCCCCTGCTGCAGCAGATGTCCCCGTCCCAGGTGCAGCGGATGATGATAAGGATCAATTCGAAGACGCTGTACGTGCAGCCAAGGGTGAGCTTGCCAAATCCTCGGATGCACCAGAGCGCCTTTGACGACCCGCTCTACTACCACAGCGAGCCGATGTACGAGCACCTCGTGGACGGCTTCAGCGACTATGTGAATATTGATGTGACTGTGGATCTGGATGACATTGTCGGTTATTTTGCGGAGCCCAGCTTCGCAGATGTGACTGTGGATGGCTTCCTTTTTGGCGGTGGTTCCAATGTCTGCAGCGACGTGCACGGTAATGAATATCCTTTTTCGGAGTACACTGTGGATGACTTCAACCTCCACCATCCTGGCGTCAGAAGTGGCCTCGGGAGCGTACCCAGGAGTTGCCTTGGGGTGAGCTGGCCTGTGGGAGGCCTTGCCCGCGGGCCTCCTGGGTGGGGGTTCTCCGCCCCGACCTCAGGCGTCGGGCCAAAGCTGTCACCACCCCATACTCCTTCCTGTTTGGGCGCGGGCCCCAGGAGGAGCGGCAGCGATGGTTGTAACCTGAGGTCTAACCAGGAGATCACCGTCGCCAGTTTTGCCACGATCGATACTGCACCTCGCCAGCAGAAACGCAGATCGGTCGCCCCTGTGAGTGAAGTTGAGGACTTGAGCCTGGACAAGTGCTTGGATGAGTGGAAGGATTTTTTGAGACGTGCGAAGACGGAGGATCTTGACTGCATGAGAACTCAATGGAGGGCCCTCTGTGGACAACTCACTGGATGCTTATTTTTTCTTGCGGCTGAACATCCTGGCGGAGAGTTTACGGCCCCTTGCCCCCGAGCACCACAGACGCATCCAGCCCCTCGGGAGCCTGTGCAGCCTCGACGCGATAGTGGATCGTTCAATGTGGTAACTTGCAATGTCAACTCGCGGGCACGGACGGGAAAAAGCTACTCCCTCTTCTAGCAGAACTTAGGGACATTATTTGCGCACAGGAGCACAAGGTCCCCAGTAGCCGGTTTAAGGAGAACCGGGACCAGCTGAGACACAAAGGCTGGAGGGTGTTTGGGACCCCTGGGGTCTCCCCGCCCAGCGGAAAAGTCTCGGGAGGTTGCATGATCCTGGTCAACACTTGGAGGCTTGGTGTGCCGAACCTGAAGTCGTCCCTGGGAGGTTGTGTTTCTGCTTCCTGCAGCATGCTGGCCTGGGCCTCTTGGGAATTTACTCGGGCTGCTTCTATGACAGCGAGGGCGTGTCTCCGAGGAACATCAGCATTTTTGAGAAGTTTGGGACCTCTGTTGCGGACCATGGGTGCCCGTTTGTCCTGGGAGCGGATTTCAACGTGAACCCTGAAACGATCTCCATGGGCTTCCCTTTGCACTCGCTTAGAGGACTTACGGGGGCCCTAGTCAACGCGCCGACGTTGGCCACTGTAATGGGAGACAAGCCCATCACCAACGCGCTCGACTATTTCTTGATGCACAGGGGCCTGGACCCGTGCCTCCTTGAGGTTGTCACGAACTTGGATGTCCCGCTCTCCCCACATCGGCCTGTTGTTGCCAAGTTCTGTAAGCGGGCTGGGGAAAGGTCCCTCCTGGTCCCGAAGAAATACCAGAAGATACCGACAATCCCGTTGCTGGGCCCGACACAGGAACCACCTGGATATGAGAAAGTCCCACGCAAGCTTGTTCCATTTTTTGATAAGATTGGAGGCACGGATGCCCCCCATGCCACACTCGATGGGCCACTCCGAGACGAGGCGGTGACAACCCTCAATGACTGCTTCGCTGACTGGAACGAGCAGGCATGGGACGAGCTCAAGCTGAGGACAGGTGTAGGGCCCAAAGGAGTACCAGGGGTGGCTACTAGTATGGGACAGCAAGAAGATTTCGGAAGTTCTTGCGACACGGACGGTTTCGTTTCCTCAACCTCCGAGAGCTCTGGGCTGGGCGCTTGCCCGCACCATCGAAATCAGAGCGCTCCTGGGGCAAGGGAGGCTACCTGATCGGGGCCCCTACCCCCGCAACCTGGTGCAGAAGCTCGCGAAGCTACCGAAGTCTGGGGGCCCGTTCCGAACAACATGGAGAGATGGTGCTCACTTTTGGAACTCTATTCTCGGGCCCATGGGCGTGATCCTCTTGGGCGATCTAGATCGGGGCGCGCTCATCCTAGATGGCATGGTCAAGTTGTTGGGGACTATGAAACACAAGATACATCTCTCGGGGGGCCAGCTCGGCGGGAAAGGTTGGAAGGATTACTGCCTTGAGGCCATCGAAACCAAAGGGTCGAACGGGGCCCGCAAGTACCTCAAGGGCCTCCCGAGTGTTCGCACCGTGCCTGGGCCTGACGGCCCCATCTCCCCTGAGAAAATGTCGGCGTTCTTGCGCGGCGTGTCGGTCGAGCAGCGACTGGAACACCAGCGGGGCATTTGGAAGAAGGCCTGAAGTGGACATGATGATGTGCCTGGGGGCCCGTTTTTATGCCCTGGTGGGCAGCTGGTTGGACCGCGACCCAAAGAAGACACCATCAGAGGCTTCTCCAAGAGCTTCAAGGACAGCACCTGCACACCCGACGGCTGGCACCCTAGGCGCCTGTCCCTGCTCACAGATGAGTCGTTGCTCGTGGTTTCGCTGCTTTTTTTTTTCAACTCATGAAGATCACGTGTTGGGCCACGACTCGGAACTCAATTGAACCTGACTGAGGTGTCGCCGGCAGTTATTCGTAAACGTTTCACGGCACAGTTGAAAGACCTTTTTATACAACAACATGTTTGCCAGGTGTGCTCCAGATTTGATTTTAAAACCAGAGACCTTGAGAATCAAGGGCTCTGGTGGGAAATCCCTCGGCGCCTCATGGTGCCGAAGAAAATGGAGTGGGGGCACCTGGGCCGAGTTCGTTTCAAACAGTTTTACTGCGGGACGGTTCCGACCAAAGCATCCTTAGCCAAGTGGGGATTTAACGTTTCGTCGGCCTGTGATAAATGTGGGGCCCTGGACACCACTTGGCACAGGATCTGGACCTGCCCTGATGATGATGTAGTGGCTGCCAGAGAGGAGGCTTTCCCACCTGGTATGATAGCGCAGGCGCTCACAGATGGGAAGGACTCCCCACTGTTTGCCAGAGGGTGGTTAGCCCGCCCTGATCTCTCGCATGAACCCCCAAC